CATGCAGTTCCATAACAATACGCTACCCATTTATTTATTTTGATTTGACATAAAGTTTGTATCAAGCCACGTACCAACTTTACTACTAGGGCCGGCCTTGTGGGTAGGCATAAGGGGCTGCCGCCTAGGGCTCATTTCATAAGGGGCTCATAATTATTTTTTCTCTAATAGTAATAGTCACATATTACTGTAAAAAATAATTAGTTTGGGGATTTAAACTTTCAATTTTAAGTTAATATATGTAATACAATAATAATATGTCACACTCAATCATTTTAATTTATCAAGTGATATTGCTCTTTTTAAAAAATAATTGTAAAAGAAGCCAAATTTTTTAAAATTGGCCTAAGGCCCATAAATTGTCAGGGCCGGCCCTGTTTACTACGCACACGGTTCCATAGGAATATAGTGCTCATTTGTTTATTTTGATTTGACATAAATTTTGCATCGAGTCCCGCACCAACATTACTACGCACGCAGTTCCATATTAATGCACTACCCATTTATTTATTTTGATTTGATATAGAATTTGTATTGAGTCACGCACCAATATATGCTTGGAAATAAATTTTTTTATAAATTAAGTGGATTTGTCATAAAGCATATTGAGCAACACAATGGATTCGACACTATTTTACTTTATAGAGCAATGCATCTATGATTTGACATGAAGATGTCCAACCCATAACCGCCTCATCAACCCATTTGCCCAGGTCCATACCCGAACTCCAGATGACTTTGGCGGGAACACTGTTCCCAAACTTTGTAGGATTTCACTAGTATCACACCCGTGCATTGCACGGGTCATTTTTATGTTATTAAATTCAGATCACTTTTTAATGATAAAAAATGAGATGCAATAGAATATAGAGATTATATTATTTTAAGGTACAAAACATCACTGTTTTACAAATTTTGAAAGACTTCTTTATAGACTACATTATTTGTGCTATTTGTGGGAGTATTGTCTTCATTGCATATCAGAATCTTCAATCCACTGCGATTAGTTACTCTTGAAACTACAACATATAGCTGTCCATGACTAAACACAGGTTTCCGTAACAATAGTCCAACATGTTCCAGAGATTGTCTCTGGCTCTTGTTAATCGTCATTGCGTACGAAGTAACCATAGGGAATTGTCTTCTTTGAAACTTGAAAGGAATTCTTGTATCGGATGGTGTTAATGATAGTCTTGGAATAACAACTTCTTCACCCATGTGGCTTTCTGATAATATTTTTTCTTGTATTGAGTGATTAGCCTTGGAATAACGACTTTTTCACCCATGTTACAATCTTTTATTAGGAATTACTTAATAAAATAATACTTTATGAAATTGAATTATTTAGTAATTAATATATATCCGGCCATAATATTTTTTTATTAAAATGAATTCGGTTTTTAAAAAGTCACATACATGTGGTCCTCCAAGGTAACTTCCATCATTTGCTCTGGGGAATTATTAACCATACGAGTTTCAGGCGCGGTTCGACTAACTACCTTCCCGATTATATATGAAAATCCAGAAAAATACAATTTTATAAATTTCATAGTCATAATATATGAAATGTATTTCATATGTGTAAGTATTTAAGTTATGTAAATGTAAATGACTCTTACCAACTAAAAAGACTTGGTCAGCAAACCTTGTTTTGAGTACATCTTCAAAACTCTTAAAGTTGAATTGAAAAAAGAAATCACTCTACGTAGCACTCTAACTCATCTAATACTACGCATTTAGCATTGCTTATTGTTTTTTACCAAATTAGCTATTTATGTTGTCAATCTCTTCCAATAATACCCTTTATGTTGTCAATCCCTTTTATCTATCCCACTATCAATTGTTTCAATTCCTCTTTCAACTTCTAAATCAAATTCGGACTCACATAATGTATACTTTGTGCATAATGGCATAGTACCCTTTTTTATCAAATTCTTTCTTCAATCAATTAAATGTAGTTTTGAATAAATAGATATAATAAAAATATGATATATCAAAATTATATCATAAAAATATGCCAATTATAAATACTTCCTTCATCCCAAAACAGGCCTCTTATTTGAATTGCGATGTTTGATTGAAGTTATTTTCAAATCAATATAAGTAAAAAATTTTGTATAATTAAAAAATAAGAATTATATATTAAAAAACTACATAAAAAATTATATAAACAAGTGGTGACAATGGGACTTACATATAAAATTACCATTGTTATGAATTATTATTTGACTTTCATTTTGTGCAAACAGCTTGTGGTTGATTTTATGACAATGGAGTTTTACCATGAAAGAGATTGTTATGAAATGTGTTACTCAATATGGTGGCTGTAAATATTTGGGCAGTACGGATTGATCATGTTCTGCAAACACTTTCTGGCAGTGAATTTGTCTTTTATATATAATGTGGCAGACAAGAGTGCAAATATGACACTGTATAAAAGTTTGCGGCCTAAACAAATTTGTATGTACTTCATTAAATTCTATTAAAAATATGGAAGTGAAATTAGACATACATATAAAACTACCAATATTATGAATTATGAATTAAGTTTCATATTGTGCAAAAGTCATGTGCTCCGTTCTATGACTATTGGGTTTGAACGTTCAAGAGTTCGTTATGGAAATGTGTTACTGAATAGGGGGCTATTATTTTTTTGGCAGTGTGGAATAATCACCTTCTAGCTACACTTTTTGAAAATGTCCTATGACCATATTTGCCTAGTGTGTTTTGGTCAAATGGGATTTATATCTAAAAATCCCAATGTAATAAATTATTCATTGAGTTTCCATTGGAAGTGGATACAAAAAAATCAACAAAACGGCTAGTGCTTGAATAACTTTAACAAACAAAGCAGTATGGAATGCTTGTGATCTAGGTATACTTTTTGGCAGTGTGTTATGTCATATGTTTTGGCCAGTGTGCTATGTTGCACAATTCTACGTAATGTTGCAGTGTATGTTGCTTACAAAGTCTTAAAATTTAAAACATAATACATTCCATTATCCATTTCTTTTCAGTACCACATAAATGAAATTCAACATATGTCTAATGCTAACATCTTCTAACATTATACTAAATCAAGAAAGACCAAAAAAAGCCAAGCCCATGTTTGGTCAGTGTCTTTTGGTGTAGTTGATTATTCATGAAATCAATCATATATTTTTGGGCAATGTGGAATTCATACATGAAAACAGTCATACACATTTTTGACAGTGTGGAATTCATACATGAAAATAGTGTGAAATTCATACATAAATAGAACTATCACTTTTTGAAGGTGAAGAATTTATACATGAAAACGCTGTTACATAAGTCAAAGGACATTGCACTCCAACATGAAATTAAGAAACACAATAATACACTTACACACTGCCGTAAGACAACAACATATATCCATTCTACACTGCCACATTAAATACTGACATATAAAAAATTACACTGCTCACTACATAGTTACAAGTGAACAACCACACTCCCCAAAACAATCATATCTTTTTGGCAGTGCGTTATGAACATTTACTGTTTAATTAAAGAAAAAAATTGGAATCACATGTACGAAACATATAGCACTGCTATTTAGAGTATTTTAATGCTCTAAGAGTGATATTTTAGTTTTTCTCCCAATTGAAAATTAGGAATTCCATTTTCCGATATTTTTTGAAATTTGGTCCTTCCAAAAAATTGCAGCATGCAAGAGGGATTGGTAGTTTTTGTGCCTTGAAAATTGTGTATAACCTTGACTCTCATGACTAAGTAAACCGCATTTTCTTGCAAACATTCTTTGAATGTGCATATATTAGTATTTTTGATCTGAGCATGGATCCGATCACCCTAACAACAAATATAAAATGTTAATCTATAATTAAATTTATATTTTTTGTTAAAAGATTTATTATATGTAAAATATAAAATAATGTAGAACTAACCTCTGAGTCGTGGAAAACAATATCCAATAATTCCGGCCCTCGAGAATGAGCATGAACGTGATAAACTCTTACCGCTCTTAGTTTCGTCATCAATAATCCGGACCTTTTATCAACATTTTTTAAGACGGTAATGATCCACATGTTCATACAAAACACGATGGTGAAGCACCGATTAATTAAAACACTCGTTGATTATCTTACTTTTCTGGCCCGGTAAGGTAGCGTATTTATACTATATGAATTTATGAATTTTGATGTTTCTTTATTAATTGGTAATAATTAATTACCAGATTGTTAACCTTTATTTTAACCAATATACTTACCTTATTAATCGGTAATAATCAATTACCGTTTTGCTAACCAAAAAATAGTAAGTTTAAAATAAAAGTAATATACGTAAGTTTACAATAAAGGTAAATAGATTAATAATTAATTACCAATTTAAATTACTTACCTTTTTAATCATTTCCAATTTAAATTAATCACGTTAGTATTATTATTTCTTTATAATCACGTTTGGTAAGTTTTTCATAAATGGAATGAGTCAAAACCGTGTAACATTAATGACCCGTGCAAAAGAATTATTATTTCTTTAAATTACTTACCTTTTTAATAATTTCCAATTTAAATTAATAACGTTAGTATTAGTATTATTATTATTATTATTATTGTTTAACCGTGTAACATTAATTACCATCAATTGCCATAATTAGGTTGGCCATTTAGGTAAGTAGATTAATAATTATTTACCAATTTAAATTAATTACCGTTTTAATCATTTCCAATTTAAAGTAATCACGTTAGTAAGTTTAAAAGTAAGTTTAAAATGAAATTAATAAAAGTAAGTTTACAATAAAGGTAAGTAGATTTCTCGTTAATTACCAATTTTAATTTCTTACCTTTTTAATCATTTCTAATTTAAATTAATAACGTTAGTATTATTATTTTTGTTTAACCGTGTAACATCAATTGTCATAATTAGGTTGGCCGTGTAAACATAATTATTTAATTTAATTATTTATTGCAATTAAGTCATTACAATTATTGCCATAATTGAGTCATTTTTATTGCAACACCAACCGGGCAGGAAAACCTATATTGCCGTTCTAGTTATTCTTTCTTGGTTATCTGCTCCCACCCGTCCTTTTTCGGCAAACTGCAGGAAGTTTGAGAGCAGTAATTTGCTCTTCTGGAACTCCTGCTGTTCCAACCGGAACTCCAGGCTCGCCATTCCCGACAGCATCAGTTAATAAGATTTGGGGATTTTGGGTATGTCCAAACATATAGTTTCTTCTCATTATTCTATTATTTATTAGAGTTCTAATTTTCAGGGCTTTTTGAAATTGCGATTGTTTTTAGTATTTGGATTGAATTCTCTACCAGGGCATGCCGGGTTTCAGGGCTTAGTTGGGAGGAAATGGAGTTCGCAAGATTGAATGGTGCATACTGCAACCCCAGATAAGTTATAAACTATCTTTGACATAGGTTTATCAATATCGTAGTAGTTAGTTCTCGTCGGGTAATCAAGACAATATCCAGGGAACCAATTAGGATATGCTACATACTGCAACTCCAGTTGTGCTTTCCTTTGGATATTAGTGAGCTGGCATTTCCATCAGGCCTAAAGCAAAAACTATCTATGGGGAGAGCTGCAGTGCTGCACCTTCCTCTAGAAGTCAAGTAAGACACCATCATGTACATTTTTTTGTGTAACACCCAAACACTACCCTCTAGATTCTACTATTCTAGTAATCACAGCATATGTAATTATTAGAAAACATAAGATGCTAAGGTCTCTTCAATGTGTATTGGAAACTACAAACAACAACAACCCAGTTAAATCCCACAAGAGTAGGGTCTGGGGAGGGTGTGTGTACGCAGACCTTGCCCCTACTCGAAAGTAGAGAGGCTGTTTCCAAAGAGACCCCCGGCTCAACATCGAAAGTTGCAGTGTTTGACTAACTGCTACTTCATTAATTAAAGAAGCGCAGATAGTTTAGAGATCCATTTTGATTTATTCCATCACACCCCAAAGCCAAAAAAGTGTTTGACTAAATTTGGAAACTAAATGTACATAAGGTTAAAGCGTTCCTGATGTATTCGTTTGGCTTTCTTGATGCTCAACTTTTGATCATCTTCATTAATTATATTGTTCTACTGTGCTTTGCCTTTTTGCATGTATTCAATTCTCATTACGCTTCTTGAAGAATCTATACATTTATTTTATTGTTAGATTGCTGATCCACAAAATTTTTTTCTCTTTTTATATTTGGTGCAAAGTGATGACACATAGACAGAGGGACATTGGAACTCATATTTTATCTCTTTTTATTTATTCTTCAAGACATTTTCTTCTCATGTTTAATGACAGCCACTTTACTGATTCTGCTTCTCATTGTTTAAGTTTCTCATTATTCTTCAAACACGAATCCTTATTTATGTGATGATTCAAAACTAATTCAATTTTTCTAAATCAACATCAACAACAACATTACCCGAGTGTCTCAAAGGCTCCCATCCATTGCGTGGTGGTGGGGGGTCGGATGTACGAAGCACGGCCCTTATTTTTAAAGCATATAGTGACTATTTCCGAATGACCCATGATAAGGGTCAAAAGTTGCATTGACTAACTACTACTTTAATGTTGAATGAAGAGTTTTTTCTTTATTCAATCATGCCAAAAGCCACAAAATATTGAATCTTTGGTTCCATTAGAGATGATTGAATTCAAATTTTCTAAATCAAAAACGAAAAAGAATAAAAAAATGTTGCTTTTTAAAGATAAACGCTTCTCTATTTAGATGCTTCCTTGTCACTTTGGTTCAGCAGTGTGTTTTTTTAGTTTGGATTTCCAAATCCCTACAGGTTGTTTTGGTTATTGTTTTACACTGCACTTTGGGAATTTGATCTCTTTTTTATTCATACTTTGAGACGGGAGGTAAGTGCAATTTATTTTTTAAAGTTCACTTCTATTGTATTTGAGGATCAGAAACTACAAAAGTATTCTGACTATATGCCTATGTGGATAATCTGTTGCTCAATTTTTTTTCTGTTGTCATCCCTCTCAATAGATGTATCATCAACACCAGATATGCTAGCAGTCTCTTTCACAATAATAAATACTACATATTACATTAGTCCCATTTATTGATGGAGTGAATATATATTTACTTAAACTGAAAAGTCTAATTTAAATTCAACATTAATTATAGTACTAGTGCATGAGGAAAAATATCCAAATAACGATTGAAATGATATTCCTTCGTACACTAATCAGTTTGAAACCCCTGTTAGTTGAACAAAAGTTATTTGATTGACCAAGAATACATATCCTTAGTTTATCTATTTTTACATCTTTTTTACTGATAAAGTTTTAAAACACCTTTAAAAAATACAGTCTAAACAGTGTCTTGCTTTGCCACCGTAATGGAGTTTGTTCCATATTTTCCAGTATATCCTCTTTTGTTTACCAACTTCTCTGGGTTTTAGAGTATTCACATTACACGACCTTTTGAAAACTTATGAAACCAGAAATTGTTTATGTTGTTTGCCTCAGAGTGTTTTAATCTGATTTCTCAAATTTTATTTCAGGCTCAGTTGGACACGACAGCAATAATTTCAGCTTGAAGGTAGAAAAATGGTGAAGGAAAATTTACCATTTTGCACTTGCTTGTTTTTTAATGTTTTTGTTGAGGCTCATAAATAATTTTAAAATTCAATTTCAGGATATGTGAGTACCATTTTCTTCCATTTCTTGTACTTCAGCAAAAACAATTGAAGGGAGATTGAGATCATCTTGCAGTTGAGAAAAAACTCTAAACTTTTTAAAATTCAGTTTCATAAACCTCTTCTTATAAGCTCTTTATTGGAACCATAGTCTTTGATCTCTCCTACTTTTTTCTGCTTAGTGTTGTTTGTTTGCTTTTATGTTAAGTGTTTTTTTGGTACATGGGAATGGAAAAACAGAGACAAAACTAAGAGCGAATAAAAGAGGTTCCTCTAAGGTCAGAGCAGAGAAAGGGCCTCAACTCGTCCGGAGGCTTCTCTAGAATAAAAAGATCTTGATCTCCGGTAGCCTCTTTCTTTGCAAGCAAGTCAACACAAGCATTTCCTTCCCGTAGGGTATGATATAGGCAAACCTCCCAAGGTAGCTGGATCAAGTCCTGGAAAAGACGAATTTGTGTGGAGGCTGTGCAATGCATGAGGATAAGGAATCAATATCAGTTGTAGTGCCTCCGTGGAGTCACTCTCTCACACCAACCGGCGAAAGACCTGCTCCCAAGCATATTTCAAACCATGAAGAATGCCTGCCACCTCAGCTGAGATGTTGTCTTTAAGGCCAATGCTGCCATAGGAATCTACAATTGGCTGTGCAATGGAGTTTCCACATCCTCCCCCAAGCTTCGTTTTCTGTAGCTCGCTGAGCATGGGCAACGGAGTTGGACAACCATGCATAAGCTCTGGATACGGAATAGTGGTCATCTAAGTTGGACTTCCAAGTAATAAAACCTTGTGCCCTTGGGTGGACTCTCATTTTGGCATTAAGAATGGCTTCCCTAACATTATCATCGCAAGGAGTGGACAACCCACCAAAGCTTGGATTGACAATAACGATGTCTCGAATGTGCAAGTTGGAGTCGGAGATGTGCAAAAGAGGAACCTGGTTACATAGCCTCCCCAGCTGGTTATGCCAATGAGAGAACCAAACCAAGAACTCCCCATTACCTACCCTAAGTTCTAATCCTTCTTTAAGAAATGGGCTGCCTTGAGAATTGACACCCAAGATGGATCAAACCCACCATATGTTTGGGTAAGAAGCCTCGTCCAAAGTTTGTTCGGAGTGTGGGTTAGATCTCAAACAGGTTCTCCCAAGAAGACAGCGATCATGAGTCATGCTTTGCGGACCCCAAGGCCGCCAAAATTCATGGGGGCTGTGACAATATCCCAACCCGCCCAATTTACTCCCATTGTTTCCTTGTCCCGTCCCTATAGGAAGTTCCTAGCAATCTTGTCAAGGTGCTCATATGGTAAAATGGAATTCACGATAGAACAGCCTTCACAAGAACCAGTATATTGGCCTTGTTAAGCGTGTTGCATTTCGAGGCAGCTAGCTTAGAGTGCAATCTGTCAATGACGTCCTCATACTTGGCTACTCTATTCCTTCCACCCCCAGGCGCCTCCCCCAAGTACTCCCCAGGGAGTCTCCCAAGGTCATAGGAAGGATGCCTCTAAACTTCTGCTTAGCTTCTAGAACACCTCCTGCCACCATTACTCTGGACTTCTCCATGTTAACATTCAACCCGGACATAGCTAAGAACTCTCCAACGTTCCCTTGATAATGGGCAAGTCTTTTGGCGAGGCCTTGAAGAGTAGGATGTCATCTGTCGGAGAAAGCTATGGCTCCTCTGTGCATTTGGACTCACTTCCACTCTCTAGAGCAAACCTTATCTTGAATCATGTTAGAAGACTTCTCCATGCAAAGCACGAAGAGATATGGAAAAGGCAGGTCCCCTTGCCGAAGACCTCTTGCGTTTTCAAAATGCACAAGGTGACTCCCACTCCAAAGTAAAGCTAGCGATGCGAAGGACGCACAAGAGGTAATAAGGGAGATCATTCTATCCGGAAAGCCAAACTCCTCTAATAAAAGTGTTAGAAACCTCCTACTGACTGTCGTATGCCTTGTGGAGGTTGATTTTGATAGTCATCTCCTGTCTTCCGCTTGCATCTTTTCAAAAGGTGAACTACTTCATGAGCCACTAATGTTACCATGGGTCCCCTTGCCGGGGAGAAAGGCGCTCTAGAACGGTCCAATGAGTCTTGACATATAATCGGTCTAAGGCTGTTAACAATGACCTTAGACCTGATTTTGTAGACCACATTGCAAAGGCTAACAGGGCGGAAATGGTTGAGGTGCGTGGGGTTGTCGTCCTTGGGGATGAGTGTTTCAACGAGCCTAGGATCAATCCGACCAAATGTGAGTGGTTCACTGACCACTCTACAAGTGTCGTCGCCAAGCACACTCCAATATCTCTTGAAGAAAAGCGGTTGGAATCCATCCGGGCTGAGATCGTTAAAAGCCTTGATAAATTTTAGTTCATTCCAAACCTCATCTTTAGTTATCGGCCTCAAGAGAGCAACTGCTTCTTTGTTTGTTTAGGTGGCACCCAAGCCATACTAATATCCCAAAGTGGTGACACCGTCTAGACAAAAAAGTGTCTTAAAGTAGCTTTGATCCACTGTTTTCACGGCAGATTAGTCCGTGCACCAATCGTCACCATCAATGAAATGCCCTTCAACCTGATTCCTCTTTCTTCAAATGATTGTCTGGGTGTGGAATAATTTTGCACTCCCATCCACAAGCTGGACAAAACTGCTCTTTAGACCTTTAGAACCAGAACCCCTCCTTTTGAGCCTAAAGGACCTCTCTCCTAATGAAGACCTAGGAGCGAGAAAGTGGCCCCTCCAGCAAGCACCTATGTATCCCACTGATGCGAGCTTTGAGGTGCCACTTGCATTGGAAAATATTCCCAAACATATCCTTCTTGAAACGAGTTCAACCTTCCCTAAGACCCTGACCGCTTTCAGCTTCGAGAGGATGTCTCCTTAAGTTCTGTTCCAAGCCTTGTTGACTACATCAGCAAACCGCGAGCACAAAGTCCATGCTGCCCCAAAGCAGAAAGACTTGTTGGCAACCCCCCGAGTAAGTCCACATAACGGGCGAGGAGGGGCTGGTAGTTGGAGTAGTAATGAGGTAGCGATTCCACCACCGCTTCAGGATAAAGCATACGCCGCGCTAGGTCCTTTAAGGCCCTGTCCAGTCTCTCAAGAACAATTTGGCTACCCATGAGAGTCTGGTGCCTACCAGGCTTTCTGGCATGAATCCCCCCCCCCACCCCATGCACTTCACTAGATCTGAACCAATTTTGCATCAAAATCAAAGACCCACAAAAAACACAGTTAGAAGGTCCTCTGTCCTTCATTCATCCGTAGTGGGCGGTCAAGAATTTGATGCTTTTTCAGACACCCAATTCTCTCATGGTATTGAAAATGTAAGTTCTGCATTCCTTTCTATGTAAATATGTTGACAAAATATGCATGTCAAGTGTTTGATGAATTGCCTCTAACAAGTTTATGTATGCAGCAGATTCAAGCTGAAATCTGAACGTCATTATGCTTTATTATTTTTGGTTTATCATATTTTAGTTTGAACTAGTGACTTCCTTGTGAATCATTCCCCTTGTTAATGTTGTTATAGTTGTTTACTGTTTAATGTATTGATATGTACGTTTTTCAAAAAAAAAAAGGTATGGGAAGGATATTCCCAGTTGGCAGTATCCAGCTGTATGTATATCAATTGCTTATAATCCTAAATATGATGAATTGTTTATGCTAGTTTGCCATGATAACTTTGCTTATAATTGCTTATAACTTCTAAACAAGTGCTTAATGCTCCCATCTCTTTAGATGCTCTATTTTTAAAGCAGCATGATGGAAAAGAGTGCCCTATAGAGATCAAGAACAACTCCAGATACTATCAATATTTTAATGTATTATAATTTTTTACAAAGAAAACACATAAATAATATGGAGTATTAATTTTAGTTATACTCACAAGTATCTTCTACGGGTGTATAAAAAATTACATTGCATTTTTCATCTTTTTTAATAAATTAGACACTTCCCAAATATCAAGTTGGTACTTGATATTTTGAAAATACATACCCAGTACTTTGTATGATTCAGCCATAATCACAACCATTTCAACCAAAATTTACCCATTCAAAACAGGGAAACCACTCTAAGCATCAAACTGAAAAGCGCCTTTTGCAGGGAGCAATCTCACACATTCTACACTGCCCTTTATATGAAGCCAGGCCAAAGAGAAACCAGATGGGCTATTTCAATTTTCAATGCCTATAAGTAAATTAATTACATATTAAATGAGTTATTGTATTTTTTTCTACAAACTATTTTGTGGGTTTTAAAAAAAAACTGCTTTTTTAATTGTTTTTTTAAAGTTCTTGTAGGGCATTGATTTTTATCTTGATAAAGCGAGAGAAAAGAAAAACTAGAAAAAGGTAACTCAATTACTTGCTCTGAAGCTTGGGTATGATAATGAGTTTCAGTTTCCACTTGTAGGATTTATTGTTGTTTAACATACTGTGTGTTTGTGTGTGTGTATATATATGTGTGTGTGTGTTTATTTTGTTATTTAAAAATTATGGTGAAATAATTATTTTTGTTTATATCAGTTAAATTGATGGATGATGAAGAAAACACAAGAACAAAGTTGGTTGGTGGAGAATGATGGATAGTGTAGACTGTAGAGTGGCACTGGAGTCATAAACATACAGAGTAGTTTTTTTATACAGCTTTTATTCAAATTTGGGTTTCTATTATTTTCACACCAATTTTCCACATAACCAAAAAAAACACAGACAACTAATTTTCTCACCAATTTTCATCTTAACCAAACAAGATTAGGATTTTTAATTTATTTCCTTTTTTTCTTTCCTTGCTATTTTTATTTCCTCTCTAATTCCTTGAACTAACAGTGTTGGTGATTTTAAAGGAATGAGCTTGATAATTGGTAGCTACTATGGGAAAGCGAGCAGAAGTATTCTTAGACAAGGACCCAAATGCCTCCATTGTGACTTACTGCATCAACCAAAGCCACCACTTCGTAACCCAGGTTTTGCCTTAATTCTCCCAACTTCTCGAATGCTCCATGAGTTTCACAAAGGATAACAACTGAAGGTTTGTAATTTGGCAGATCATCCCTAATCTATCTCTTCACCCGTCCTCCGGCGGCTCCCCTCACCTTCCACGTCAATATGTCAAAAGGCACTACTGAATCCATAAGGTAAATTAAAGGACGGATATGGTGTGGGCAAGAGGAGCTATCGGCGTTACATTGTGAGACTGATGTTTCTGCTCTGTCCCGAAGGTGTTGAGATCAATGCTCTTTAAAGTGTTGTTTGTTATCACTAAAAAAGGAGCATGCTTTCTATAAGTTATTTCGTACGATCATTTTTCTTTGTTTCCAAGTGCTTTCTAAAAATACAATATATTCCTTGGAATAGCAACCGGGTTATAGCCCCCTGTAGGAAAATATGGTGGAGGAAGAACGCTGCAGAGCAGCATTAACGAAGAATGAGAAGAATAACTTAATAGAGTATAACGAATCGCGTAAAAATACTTTCAGATCAAAGTTATTTCGGAGTATATGAAATACTTCAATCGGATAAGACGTTAATCAAGAACAAGCATTTCATATCGTATCTTCAATCGTACCCGATCGTCTCTATTTATAACCCGCCGGAGGACGGGTGAAGTCTGCAATTATCCCTACCGCGCCTTTTGACATATTGACGTCAAATCGGAAGTCTGACATATTGACATAGAGACAAATTTTGACCAAACTCTACGAACGTTTGCGTCCAAAAAACTTTCGCGCGGTAGGGATAATTGCAGACTTCTGATTTTTGGACGCAAACGTTCGTAGAGTTTGGTCAAAATTTGTCTCTATCCGAAGTGTAGGATTTTTTTAAAATTTTAGCTCGACGACGGCCAGGGGCTGCCGTCCCTTGGACCCCGCTCCCTGGGGGGTTACCGCCCCTGGACCCCTGCTATGAATTTGTAATATTGTTGAGCGAGTGCACACTTTGCGCCTCCTAACTCGTTTGACAATGTCAATTCAAATTTTTGTCTCATCTAAATAAACTCAATCAAATAAAATAGCCGATGATACAAAAATCACTAAACCCCCTCATACGCGGTTGAAGATGTTGGTCATTGCTGTTTGTACCTTTCTAATGGAGTGGATACTGAAGAGCAAATAGCAAATACTCCGTACCAATGTACCAAAAATATTGTGCAAAAAATCAAAAAAGAAGAAAAGAAAATAGCAAACCTAAATATGAACAGGCCGTACAAACTTAAATACGAATTCTAACTGATAGACAAACTTAAGAATAGCATTGCTTCTTTAACTAATCCAAAGGTTTTTTTTAAGTACAGATCAATTTGAATTGTTACATTTTGTTAGAGAATTTTTTAGTGCAATGTGCTTGGCTTATATTTTAGTAAAACTATAGTCCAAGTAATATGCTATGGTTGAAGTGCAAGCCAATAGACTTCCAATGACACGATTTGTGATGATGTTTACTTCTTATAACATGAGTACCCAAACATAGGTGATAAAATATACTATAAAATATCGGTCACTTGCTCCTTAATTGGTTCACCATTACCTTGCTTGTACATCATCTCTATGGAAAGTTTACCTTAGATGACACATTTAGTACAAAAAATATTCTTATTGGGTTTTGTCTTTGGTGGTATGCCTCTTCATGTTGGTCCTCCTCCTCACCATTGGAATCAAGTTCTCCATCGAGCCTAATCTCCATGGCCCTCTTGTTGGTGCAGTCACGAGCGTTGTGTCCAAGTCCAAGACACTTGAAGCACCTGATGTTATTTGGTTTACCTTCCTTGGCCACGGGTATTGAACTCTTGAAATCGGTATAGCGTTTAGGCCTGAACTCTTCTTTTCCCTTTCATGGAAAGTAGGTGGGCTTGCTCCTAGCCTTCTTGCACTGTATCTTAGACTTTCCTTGATACAAACTAGAATTTTTTTTTAGTAAATTTCACAAATAATCTATATTTTTGGTCTTCAATTTTAAAACATTAGATAAACGATCATCAATTTTTGAAAACCACTCTCTCCGCCCCAAATTAAATTGTCTGTTTACTAACCACGTGGTCAAATTTTATTCACTTTCTTTTTTATTTTTGTTAGTCATTTGATAAAATAATGTAGTCGTGTCACTACTATTTTTGTAGATCTTCTAACGTAGTTTTAAAATATGTAATTTTAATTTTTAAATTCTACACCACTTTTCATATGTAATAATTTAAAAATAACTTTAGTCAAACATCGTAAATCGAAACAGACGATTTAAATTGAGAAAGAGAAAGTATTCCATAACCGGTCCTTTAGGGACTATATGTGAAAAAATTGTAATATTTGACCTAAAGTACTATTTATAGAAATTTTTTAAAAATTGAAGACTAAATATGAAAAACCACTTGTAATCAAGAACTATTTATGAAATGTACTCGAAAAAGATAATCAAAATGCAATTAGTGTTGTCTCTCAACTTCATTTCTAAGTTCAAGTCTATATTCCCCAACATACTTAGCTATAGCAGCCTCGGAATTCTCCTTCATCCCTAGCTTCACAAAAATCTTTTGAAGCTCTAGGTTATACCCTTATACGATTTGGCTTTTGAATAAGTTCTTCTAATTGGATGTCTAATTGGCTATGGAGCTCAAGATAATACCAAGGGACAAACTTCTTCATAAGGTTTTTCATCTCATACCATGTCTCTACGGTTTGGCCTACATTTCAAGTAGGGAGTACTTTGTATATAATGGAGTTATACACAAAAGACTAGACCAAAATTATTGCCAATACACATACGTAAGTATAGAATGCTAGTATCTTTTTGGTCCTCAAGTAAAATGTCACATGGCAGTACGCTCAGGAACATCAAACTAACGAAATTCAGGTGAATGTCAAAACTCAAAATGAAAACAACAAAACAGGTTGTGTATAACCGCCGTTTGTGCTTGTGAAATCCGTAAATGTTCAAACAAACAAAGAAATGGGGACTCAGTTTCACCACATGCAGAGAAGTCTTTCAGCTTTCAGCTTTTCCGCCAAAAGACTAGGCGAAAAACTTGTAACCTATAGCTAGGAGCAGCAAAATTGCAACAACAGCAGCAGCCGGACCAGCCCATACCCAATAGCTTGCTGCCTTCTTACGCTTGAGTATGACTTTGTGAATGTCTGATGATCCCTTTGAACGCGTCCTCTGCCTCAGAGCACCTGCTTTCTGCTGCTCTTTGTACTTCACCTCTGTAGCTGTCTCAACGCCTTTCTCATCTGACTTGTCTTGTTCGGCATCCTCAGTAGCTGCAACCTCATTTGCCTCCTCTGTTGATTCATCAGTAGCAATGGCAACTCCTCCACCCTTCTTTTTTGCTTTCTTCTGCAAGAATTAATCACCAACAAGCAAGCATGAATGAGTACAAATGGTAACAACACATTCCAAAAAGAAAAGACAATGGAACAACATTCAAGGAGAAGAGTAATTTCCTTGAGCTTCTTTTCAGCATCCCTCTGCGCTTTGAGTTCAGCTTTTGCAGCTGCTTTTTCTTCCTTCTTCTTCTTCCTTTCGATTGCCTGCCTATATTTCGCAATCTCTTCCTCTTTTTTTATCTGCTTCAATGTTTCTTCATCAACTTCATCCTTCTTATCAGTGGAACCCTTCGGGAGATCAGTTACCCCCGGGATTTCCTCATTGTCATCATCATCAGGGACATTAGCCCCGAAAGAACCCTTTGTGGTTTTCTTCTTTTCTTTAGGAGGTTCAGAGGGAAGGGAAGCATCAGGTTGTGAAGGAGGACCTGGAACCTCCTTTAATGCTTTCTGATTTGTTTTCACCGCTTCGGTTGTTGCAGGCTGCAGCAAGGTGGGTGCCTCCTGCAAAAGCAATGGCTTCTCTTCAGGATTTCTCATCCTACCGTCCTTACATAACTGCCTCATATCAAGTGATTGCAAACTTCTCCTCTCATAGTCCTCTCGGAATGACTTGTCGCTGCACCATTGGGTCATAAATTTCTCAACCTACACAGAAAAAACACAACTCTCTTCAACGGTAGAAACTTAAAAAAGTAGAACTGAATGGGATAAGCAATGGAAGGAACCTCAGTATCAATAAGCTGCCTTAGGGAAGCAATATCCTTCTTATCTGCAAGCTGCCTGGCTTCAAAATTGAGCTTCCGGAACATGTAGAATGATGAATTCTGGAAAATATGACGATAATTAGTTATACAAATCATTGAAGTGAAATAGAACACTAGATATTTTACGGGGTCAAAAGTACAAAATTTTGTGACGTAAATTTCAAAATTTACTTCTGCACATTTCCACATTCCCAGATATAACTGTAACAACTAACAAAACAACAGGTTATCCCCCCCAAACAAAAGATCATAAACACAAACACAAACTAACTAACACACCACCAACGAGAAGGCAAAACGACTTGCAATCCTTCAATAGGATGACACACCGGAAGAACAAATGCTTGGAGAGGATAAAAATGACAGAGTATGTCACATAGAGAGGGAGAGAGAGACGGAGTCCAATTGAGATGTAAAAAAAGAATGATGTATGAAAAATTACATACAAGACAAACATATATAAAGATACATACATACACACACACACACAGATATATATATCAACAATTACAAATCTTATTAAGAATATACATAGTCTGTACATAAGTAATGAGTTGTCAAAATAATGAAACAGGAGTATACCCCTTCCTCACGTTGTTTCCGGATTTCCATAATGTGTTCTTGGATTTTCCCCTTCTGCAGATTTAGAGCAGTCAATTCATTGTCCAAACTCTCGATATCATTCTTCATTGCATCAAGCTCATCATCAATTTCCTTTATCTTCTTTTTGACTCCATCAAGGTCACTGCCTATACGCTACAAAAAAAAGTTGAACAGTTGCTAAACACAATAATCACTAACATCAAGCATCTCATGCCCAAGAATTGCAAGAAATTTATATATACCTTGACCTGAATTTGAATAGACTCTTTTTCGCCCATTGATTCCTGAATTCTGGCCATCTCAGCAGCGTTGGCAATAACTTTCTCTCGTGTTCCTTCAAGTTGTTTAATTTCTTTAAGGATTTGCTTCTCTTCACTCAACGGAATGCTTTCGTGTACGATACGATATTCCAGACTTTTAATCTATGTTCATAGAGGATAGTATATCATACTTGATAACTAGGTGAGAAAAAATCAGCATTGAAAATGGAAGAAAAAATTGAAAATAGGTGAAAAGCAAGAGAGCGTTGCAGCTTACATAGTTATTGAGCTCTGCTTCCGATGAAAAAATATATCCTCGGTCTCTACCACCACCATTGTTAGTACCTCGTAACTTGCCTAAAGCTTCATGCAGAGGTTTCATCACTTTTTTATTATCATCTATCTGTGACTTGTACTGGTCTCTTTCAGCACTTAGAGGCTTCCTTTCGATAAACAGTTCCGAGCGAACTGCCTGCAAAGGAGCATCATTCATTAATGATCAAAATGAAGGGAGAAGCAATCTGACACATTTAATAACAAAAATTATTTCACTCAGGCAGAAAATTTGTGTCATATTGTATTTGCATCAGAGCAATTACAATTATTATAAATAATTAATTCCACCTAACAGCTTGGAATCAGTGTTCCTTGCAAGTTGCAACCATCAACTTGTGAGCTGCGAGCAATAGGCATTCACCTTTTACACAACCAACTACTGTATTTCATTATGTGAAAAGAAACAGATACCTTGGGAATTTCCAAACATTGGTATCGTTACATTTTCTTAGTCAACCGTGTAACACAACAAAAACATGTTGTCCTAAACTCACCCTTTTTGCTTTCAGGGTGTCAATAATCTGGCTTCGTGCTTGATTAATTTTCTGCAGCTCTTTTTCAGCATGTTCCAACTTGGCCTTAAGCTTCTGATCTTCAAACAACCGGTATTTAACCAAATAGAACGAATGCATCTGCTGAGGTTCAGGCCAATCCTCAACCACTGCATCCTTGGGAAGGTTGATTGAAGGAGCACTTTTTACCTCTTGCTTGATTGGCTCATCAGTGCCATGGGAGCCAAATTTTATGGGCTCATTAGGTACAGAACCATTTTCCTTCAAACAAGCATTGGTATCACTTGCGTTTTCAACAGAGGCAAGATCCAACTTAGTCTCCACTTCCACACCCATGATTTCAATGAGATGCAATACACCCAGACTGCCTTAAGAGTATCTTGATACCTGTTGCACAAAACATACACAACACAGAAACTTACAAGACATCATAAACTAGTACTCGTCTACTGGATTAGTGCAAAACAGCTTATAAATAGTTGAAAATTGGAAATGATTTAAAGAATGCAATGACAAATGATGCAGCCGCAGAAGGAACAAAACAAAGTCAGAATTTTACACCAAAATCTTACTCAGCAGATCAGCAAAATTTTCACAACCAATTTACACTCAACCATTGATTTGCACACAAGAATTAAATTCAACCATTGATTTGGCTATACTTTACTGGGGAACTTGTCCATAACTGCAGTTCAAAATTCAGATAGCCCCAAAAACATGCAGTCAGACAAATTCTGTGGGCCAAAGTTGTTAAAGAAAAATATACATACCGAGTATGAAACAATTGTATAATCATATGCGCAGGAAATAAAATAACCAAAAAGCAAAGATAGCATGGAAATGTTCCAGACTACAAACATATACCACCGACAAAGCAACCCACCTAATATTAGCAAAATAAACAGACACCACGAAACCATGAACAAAGAAGAAAAGGGCATATGCAAAAAGCATTGCCACAAAAAGGAACATGCATTGACCATGCAAAAGTACGGTAATATATAAGCCAGAGAGTAAGATGGTACAAAAATTGATTCGGTGAGATTCAATATTATCAAATAAAGATCGAAAATTCAAAGTGACCGAAAACTCAATCTATATCAAAGATCCAAATTTTAAACGAGAGGCCATCAAAAAAACATAAAAAGATCTCTTTTCTTCTTAATTGTCGCTGTCAATATAGATTTCAAGAAAATGATTGGGACCTCTAAGAGAAAAGATCGATGCAGATCCAAGGATGAAAAGGGATTGGGATTAGGAAGACATGCCAGGAGGATATAACAATGAAGACACTTGATAATGATGATGATGAATTGGGAAAACCAGAAACGCACAAAAGAAAAGGAGATTGAAAAAAACAATGATGACAGAGGCCAATTTGCAGACTCACCGTTGAGTTCCACCCTTAAAACACAGTAACGTCTGGAAACACACAGGGAGAGAGAGGAGAGAAAAAGTCAGACACCAACAGATCTCTCTGTTTCGGAAAGAAAACAATTCTCAATATATTTACTCCTGCCTTCCTACCTCAATAAATTTTAAGTGTACATTTTGTGTTTTGGATTTTGATTCATAGTCAGGGGTGGATGCACTCTTGATCCTTGAATACTCGTGGAGTGCCCTAGTGGTTTTTAAAAATATTTAGATTGTTTGTTTCAGCCTTTAATGGTTCAGATGTCTGAATGTTTCAGCACTTAATGGTTCAGACCCTTTGTTTCATGAGTAGATGTCTGAATGGTTCAGACATTTGCCTCTGAATGGTTAAGTATTATACAGAGTCTGAATGATTAAGACCTCTTATCTGAATTGATCAGACATTTTCCTCTGAATAATTAAGCAATATACTAGCTCTTAATGGTTCAGACATCTTACTGGTTCAGCACTTAATGGTTCAGACCTCTTACTGGTTCAGCATTTAATGGTTCAGACCTCTTACTGGTTCAGCGCTTAATAGTTCAGACCTCTTACTGGTTCAGCACTTACCTATTCAGAAGTTGTCAAACAGCCCCTTAGTTAAATATATAGTATTAAAAATAAGAGTAAATTTCATTAAAGGTCCTCAATTATAATTTGTTTTATATATTTAGTCTCTATATATTAAATATCAATAACTTAGTCCTCAATTATTATATTGTTTTCTACGAATGGTCTTTTCTTAACATTTTTGTTAGAACGTGGATAAAATTATAAATTCACACTCCTCTCTCTCCTCAATTAAGTTTCTTCCCTTCTCCCGTACTCTTTTCTCAAACCCATCGCTGAGTTTGAAGCTCTGAATCCAGAATCGAAATGATCACTCCTCTCTCAATTATTCGTCTTCCTGTTGGAACCCAAACTCAAAACCACTAATCTTCATAGATGAGTTTTAAGGTTTGTTGTCTTTATGATTTCGTGAGACTAACCCATAAAACTCATCCATGAAGGTTATTGGTTTCAATTATGGAATTTTGGATTCCACTAGGAAGATGAACAATTGAGAAAAGAGTGATCGTTTCGGTTTTGAGTTTAGAACTTCAAACTCAATGACAGGTTTGAGAAAAAACACTAGAGGAGGGATGAATCTTAATTGAGGAGTGTGAATTTACAATTTTATCCATGTTCTTAACTGAAATGTTAACAAAGGACTATTCATTGAAAACTATATCATAATTGGGGACTAAATTAATAATATTTGATATGTAGGGACTAAATATGTAAACTAACCTATAACTGAGGAACTTTTATGAAATTTAATCTGAAAATTATTAAGAAACCTAACCTAATAGGATCAAAACATTCCTTTTTCAAAAGAGGTATACATATTTTTAGGGAAAAAGACTAAATTATGAATAATATATTGAAAATATATCAAAATAGAAATTTTATATTTTTATTTCTCAAAATAGAAGTTAGAATGCATATGTAGTGATAATTATCACCATTTTTTACCAAAAGATATTGTGAAATTTTCATATTGTAACGCCCTGAAATATACTCTAGAATTTAATAATAAATTTCTAATAAATCGTAATTTTAACTTTTTATTTATATTAAAAAATGAAACGATAGTGCTAAAAATAAGTGATTTTCAAAGATATCTTTTTATAGTCAAATTTAGGGGTGGGCAATCGGGTCCAGGAACTGGGAGTCGGAACCGGATCGCTAGGTTCGGCCCGGGTTAGGGTCGGGTCCTCTTTTCAAAAATTTCAAACGGTCCGGGTCGGTCCGGTCCTTACAATCTTTAGGGTCGGTCCGGTTCCTCATTTTGAAATTGTATTGGACCCAGACCGGACCGTTTTTTTAAATCCCAATATTATTTTTAATATTATTTTTAGTAAATATACTGATATATGGAAATATACCCGCCTAAGCTCTTCAATCTTTTGGTCCTTCCAATCGCAGGCAGAAAAGTAAGAAAACCTTTCATAGTGAGAGAGTCGTAACCCATGAAGATTGTGAATTTTGTTCTTTTTGGAACCCATTGACATTATAATGCCAAAATATGGTTGTCTTCTTTTTTATTATTGTTGTTGGATGATCATGGAGTGTACACTTTACTCTCATGCCCCTCTTTGTCATTGTTTTATTTTCATTTACGCCTCTTTTTTTTATGTTGGGTGACTTAAATTAATTTGTTATCCCTTTATTTTTTTAATATTAGTATCATGATAGATTCAGACCCGTTGACCTGTGAAATCGGCCCGTTTCAAACAAGCCGGGTTAGGTCCGGTTTCAATTTTAAAATTTTGAAAACCCGTTCTGGCCCGGACCGTTTTAAAAAAACAAGTCAAGTCTGGTTTATACAAATCTTGGCTCGGACCGGCCCGTGCCCACCCCTAGTCAAATTTACGAATTGAATGTCTCGATAAGATGAGTTTAATGGCGTATTCCAAGCATGAATCTGAGTTACGAAACTTAGTGACTTGATCGCCCCAAGACTGGAAAAATAAAAAAATACAAGTATGTCGTAGAGTCAAAATAGAACTCCATCCGTCCCTAAATCATTTCTCTTTGCGAAGTAAAATCTCAAAATTTTTAAGTTCATTTTATTTAAAGATTTGTATATAAATAAAAAATAAAACGTACATCTTTAAAAAGTATATCAAAAGTTCTACAAAACAAGAGATGACAAGAATATTTTATTTCATCAAATAGTCAATGAAAACACACAAATAAACAAAAATTTCTGCGATTTTTGAATAGTAGAGTGTGTAAATGATTTAGGGACGAGGGAGTATTTAATATGGTGTCGTTGGATAGGTCTCGCGAAAAGATGATCAACGACATTCATAGATATCCGGCCCAACAATCAGACAAAGACGGTCCAATTGCGATTCCACGGCCCAACAAGAATATGAGTCCAATTGCAGAACGTAGAGGCAAGGCCCAGAGGTGGACCCGGAGTGTCGGATCTGGCCCTATACCTGAATTGGCTGAGATTCCCCAAATCATGGGATTGATAGGAGTTGATGACTGATTCTCCGCACGATTGACGCATGACTAGCGAATGGCCGATAATGTTGCTTACGAAACATTACATACCTTGTATATGGTGGAAGTAGACTAAAAATAGGGGGCGAATCCTCCACTGTAAAGCAGGCTGAATAGAGCTTAAACAAATATCCAAGAATTCTTATTCCTTCATTATTCTTCTTATTATTCTTCTGTTCTTTGCACATCATAGTTGTTGGGCTAAATTGCATCATTGGTGCTTTCATCGAGAGATTATTGTGAGATTAATATCGTGAGAATATGGCTGGACGAAGAATAAGGAACTCTAGCCTCTAGGTGTGCTGTCGCAAACTCCCAGCACTCCTCTGATGCGACAAGAGTCCCTGAGCAACACAATGGCTCTGTTTGGAAAACAGTTTTTCGGATAGCTTTTGGTATCTTTGACTGACTTTAGCTTCTTTGACTTAGCAAACCGCCAAAACCATTGTTTGGCTAATGACTTTTTCACTTGGCTTTTTGATCAGAAATGTCAAAATCTGAAAAGCCACGGGGAGTAGCATTTGAACCTGGCTTTTGGAAAAATTATTTTTTAATCATTTTTATTGAAAGATATTTTTATAATATATGTAAAAAAAATAAAAATAAAAGTTAAAAAAATTAAAAAATTAAAAAATTAAAAAAAATAAATTAATAACGATTATATTAAATTAATATCTTATGAATTATATGAAAATGAAATTTTATACTCCACATACTAACGATTTAATTTTTACATGTACAAAAATAAAAACAAATATCGTGTATATATGTGTCTATATATTTTTTTAAAAAATATTATAATATATATATATATATATATATATATTTAATTTTTTTAAAATATTATTGGAACAGTTGATTACATGTAGGGGGCCCGAGGCCTGTTAACCTCGTGACTGCCCCAGGGCCCGTTAAACACCCGAGGCAGATAGCCCACTATAAGAAGCCCAATCTAAAGCCCAACCCCATAAATCTGCAAACACTTCCCAGGGGGTCACCCATCATTTCTGCTATTCAATGGCCAGCATGCTTAACTCCCTTAAAATTCCACCAAAGTTGCCCTTTCTGAGGATCGAGCCTGGGTGGTGTGGTTTGCCAATCAACCCTGTGACCATCTCTACAGGGGGGAACCACATGTCTATATATATATATATATATATATATATATATATATATATATATATATATATATATATATATATATATATATATATATATATATATATATATATATATATATATATATATATATATATATATATATATATATATATATATATATATATATATATATATATATATATATATATATATATATCGAAACAACTAATTTTACCAATCATTTTTTACGATCAACTTACTCGTCCTGCTGATCAAACCAGCTAAATTAAACAGCTATTTAGAACATTCGATACAAACTGCCAAAAGCGCCAATGCCGCTTAGTCCAACGGGATTGAAGCAACCCTTAATAACATTGCCAACATGATGGTAAAAGTTATGGACAAGCTAGAGCGGGCCCTTCCCGAGCACTCGGGGGTTCCCAGAAACCCAACAGAGCAGCCACGACAAATTCTTTAGATGGTAGGAGGGGTAATCAACCCAGTCCTACAGGAGCTCCGCACTCTTGAAGAGATTGAGAGGGAAAGAGAAGCTATCAGGAAATGCCTGGAAGCGAAAATGGCCCGAAATAATCGGGAGCGCTAAAGGCAGCCCCAGATGGAAGGTTGGGCATTGATTAGGCTTCGGGCTACCAGCTAGGCGCAAAATGCGGAGACTAGGAGTGCGAGAGGTTCGGTGTTTGAGCGAATGTCTTGAGAGCGAGTCCTAGTGAGTGAGCGGTAGGGGAAGAACCCTGGGAAGGCTCTTGTAGGTTGGGAGCGGCCACAACCAAGCCACGTAGAATCATCTCATAGGGAGCAACAATGGAATGGGACCAGAGCCTCACCCGGGGCTCAAGTGGAGGACGAGGCATAGAGCCAATTGAGGGTCCTAGTGGCCTAGCGCCTGGGGTGGTAGGCCCAAGAGTGGGGGATTTCCAGGATCTCCGACGCTAGATCCTAGAGATTCAATGC